TTTTTCTTGCTCATCCTTGTTGGAAACTCACCTTCCACAGGTTACTCGAAAGCAAGAAAAAGATCGATTGAGACTGCCGGCAATAACCCAAAAAGTGATGGAGAAAGTCATGAGCCACCGGTGGCTCAGGATGTCGTCAACGTGTTAAGGATAGCGCAGATGGAGTTGGGAGACATCACGTGGTTGTCGCTACACACCAGCTCGGTTCCCGTTCACATTTAAATGAAAAGTGACATGCTACTGCAGCTGTAGACGGCCATTTCCATCTGTTCTCGAACGTCACTGTACAGTTTGCCTTGGAATGGTGTAGGTCTGGTCTATATCAGGGTTTCCGTCTAGGTCGGCTGTCAAATTTGCCAGCAAAAAGTACAAGATGTAAATATTCTGAATAAGCAGAGAGGAATATGCAGCAAGCGTGGTTGCTTTCTAAAGAAGTAGTCGACGCTAGAGAAGACCTGCACGCATTTTTTTTGTACATTCTGCTATGCTCAAAAACAGGAGCATTTCAACTACTCCAAAACAGGGTACGTGGTACTTCGCTTTTTCACCCAAACCTTAAGGACCTGATTTCAGACTGGGTGCTCTGTGATGGATTCTCCATTCACTTCAGTTAACTCCAGCAAACAACCAGCGCAATTTGAGGGGAACTTCCGGGATGATGAAAGGTGCACCTATGCATTCCAGTGCGTGTCCAAATTGCTCTGGACATCTTCAGGGGCTCGTCAATAATCACAGGGCTCACCAGGCGTCCTGCTGCTCTGACATAATCTTCCCCAATGTAAGTGCTAGTGCGAGCTCTGTTTATTTGCTGCTCCAGTCGCATACGGGAAAAATTGAAAGTAAAGCTCATGATGGCTTCAGAGCCAGTGAATTCTTTGAGTCATAGCTTCCTGAATTCCCAACAAGAGGCAGATCAGATATTACTGGGATCTCTGGCGCATATGCTGTTCCTCTCCAGGTCTAGTGCCCTGGAGAGAAATGAAGAAGATTGAAAACGTTTTCGCTTTGCCAGCGAGTTCTAGTCAAGCTAATAATTCAGAGATAACATAGAGAGAGTGAAGTGAGCTGTCTTCTCAAAACGATGAGACACCCTTTTAGAGGTCACCCCGGGTTTTCGAACAATCAGAAAGTTTCAGAATCGCGCACTGATTGATGAGCTTCGAGCTTTATTTTCAGGTTCCAAGTTCCTTTCCTAAACCATTCATTAGAGATTCATCACAGCGATTCTGTTGAGCAGCGTCTCAGTCATGGTCAGACCAGTACGGCCATCCATTTACGGACAATAATCATTGGGGCCTAAACCAGCCTAATAAGTGTCATCAGCTTGACAGTATCGGTCCCCAAATGCTCTTGCACAGACCAGCTGCATGTTCGAAGTCCCCAAAAATCTGAAGCACGTCGGGTTTTCAAGGCAATGATTAGTTCCAAGTACAGTCGTCTGCATGGATAATGGGAGGTT